GATGGGGTATTACCCACCCTTCTCTCCAGCTCTCGTTTTCTTTCTCGTGGAAGGAGCCTAGGCAATGAGCTCTTAGATGGCTGATCTCCAAAGTCCTTCCTGGGTGTTTATCTAAATGCCTTAGATAAGATTTGATAAGCGGTTAAGCCATTTGATTGATTTCGTTCCTGCTTTCTCAGGTTCGGGCTGTTAGCCCCGTATTTATTCCTGACTGAAGCTAAACCCATCCTGTTCATATTTATTGGCAGCAATAGATGGTTTTGGAAATTTTCCTGTATATGTCTCCAGGAGCTTAAAACCTGATTTTGCAGTCTTAAATAAGGTCCATTTCATTGTATGTAGTTTAAGGAGCCTGGCTGCAAGTGCTTTTTGCTCTAATTCATTAGTGTGAATGCTGGTATGATAATGCTTTACTTGCCCTGTGGGGCAGCCTTTAGGTACTCTGTTAACTGGGAAGTTAGAAGGAGATTAGCTTTGTATTGCTGCTACATTCAGGCTGTTAGATCACTTAGTATAGATCATTCTGCCAGTTCAACTTACTAAGGGAAGGAAGATTTTTCTTTTTTTCTGGCTGCTGGACTGAAGAGGTATTGTTCAGGCATCCGTAGCATTTTAGCTTGAATAGCTTTGTCATAACAAGCTCTTTAAAAAACTCTCCTGGTCCTGCAGGCTAATTAATTTCTCACCCACTTGCCTGTAAGACCTAGATTTACAAAAGAATTTAGGCATGTTTCTTTTTAGGAGAAACGTAAATTTACATGCCCACCAGAGCGGTTTGTAAAGCTGCTTCTCTCGAGCTAATTAGACACACCACTGTTTTCATGTTAGTTTACTCGGACACTTAAATCTCTGCTGCTGCTGCTTCTTCTGCTTCGTAGAAAAGTTGCTGTTGTGCCTAAATTGGGCTGAACAGCACTTGCTGAAGGTAATTTGGGGTTTACCAATTAGACATTCTTATGCTATACTTGTCTTTACCCTTTGAAGAGTCGAAGAAAAATGAATTTGAAAGCACAGTCCAGCACAACAAACAAGAGTAGCAAGTGTTACTCATTCAGGTGGTGAAGAGGCTTTGCCTTGGGTTTGATCTCTCCAGGAATTACTTGTGTTTTGCATGACGGTGTGCCTCTGCAATTTCAGGAGCTAGGGTTAAACCTAGGATTGCTTCCTGCTGCAGGATGGTATAGTCAACTGGAGGACCAAGTCGACACCCGTCTGTAGGCTGGTGTTCAGGCCACTGAGTTTGTAACTTGTCTGGACCCTCTTCTGACTGCTTACATTTCAGGCAAGAGCTTTTATTAATAAAATGTTGTGTAAAGAGTAGATAGATATCCTTGTGATTGTTTTGGGAAACACTCATCTGTACTTAGATCCACAAGGCACAGTTTGAAATTTTTTCCAGGATTAGATTTTAATCTCTTAAATGCCTGTCCCACGGCTGTGGATGGTTGAATAAAGTCCAGAGAAATGGCAGAACTTCCTATAAACCCTTCTTGTCATTGTGCCTAGATCAGGAGATAGGAAGCCCTCACTGTTGTTGGGGTGTTGTGGGTCTGATGATTTGGTGTGAAACTCTTCATGGGATCATGGAATCACAGAATGGTTTGGGCTGGAAAGGACCTTAAAGACCATCCATTTCCACCCCTGCCATGGGCAGGGACACCTCCCACTAGCCCAGGTTGCCCAAAGCCTCATCCAGCCTGGCCTTGAACCCCTCCAGGGATGGGGCATCCACAGCTTCTCTGGGCACCCTGGGCCACTGCCTCACCTCCTGCACAGGAAAACATTTCTTCTTAATATCCAATCTAAATCTACTCTCTTTCAGCTTAAAACTGTTACACCTTGTCCTATCAAACTCTTCCTTCACCCTGCAAAGGATACAAGTGTCTTCTACCGTAACTTCTGCAGCCAGCATATAGGCTGTTCCAGCTGTTGCTGCTGAAGTCCCTTGGTGAATCTGGACCCAAATGGGAAAAAAAAAAGTTACCCTTTTCTGCCGGTACATCTTGTATTATTCCTAGTCTTGGTTTTTATTTCAAATGTGTGGGGTTGTTGCTCTGGAGTGTGCAGCCCTCCTGGGGCCCAGTTCACCAGGAATACATTCCTGTTTGACTCATCCCTGACATCTTGATAGAAACCAAGAAGAATGATTTTTATCTTTATTGTCGCAGGGGATGTAATACTGGAATCGGTTCTGGGAACAGCCCATTTCTTTTGGAAAGGGATGGCAATAAGTGGCCTTTGCGTTTGAAAAGGGGCTTATATGAGCATGGCGTTCTCATACACCCCCCTTCTTTGTGAATTGCATATGTTTGCACTATTTTAAATCGTGTTAGACAACTGGTTCGTTACATAGGTCTGGATTTAGGAACACATTTTATGTGGCTCATTCTGCAAAAAGCAAGTGTGTTGCCCTTTGGATCTTGACTTGACAATACAGTACAAACAAAAAAAAAAAGCAAACTTAAACAACAGGTTTTGGGGTTTTTTCCAATCTAAAATCCTAGACTGAGCACAGAACCTCTCTCTCCTCTTTGCCAATCTCTTTCTTTTGAGCCTTCTGCATTTAGAGCCCCAGTGCTCTGAAAGGATCACCGCAGTGCATGTATCCAAACCCTTGCAGCACGAAGCTCGGAGCTCTCCTGCCCTGAGGGTCCTCCCTTGTACCCCTCAAGACTCATGGCAGGCTTGGACTCCTCCTAGCAGCAAGTCTGGTCCCAGCCTGTGCCTCAGGCTCAGTTTTGTAAGGAGAGGAGAGAGCATCTTGCCACATCTCTTTGGTAAGGCACACAAAGCACGATGTTACACGCTGTCTCAAGTAGAAGGGAGGTAATTCAGCTCTGCACCATCTGTGTGGAGTGGGAAAGGCAGCAAAACCTTTCATGTCTTGCACTGAAAAGCTCCATCTACCTAATTGCAAAGTGTCTTATAATTTGAACAGTGGTCTGCAGTAATCAGTTATCACCTGGCCATGAGGAATTAATTCATATAAACCTAGGATGAATGTGTGCTTGGACTCAGAGAAGTGCCATGAATGATATCTGTCTTTGTGAAGATATGCACGTCTTGGAATTTGGGTAAATTCCTAAAGCTCACCATTTAATTGTAAAGTTTCTAATAACTCAAGCTGGAAGCTCAATGCTCTTATTTCCTGTGTTCATTCTTAAGGAAGATTCAGCAAACCTAGAGGAAACATGAAAAGGTTTCTCAGCTAAGATTTAAGATAAACAGAATAATGAAATAATTAATACCGAGTGTTCATTTATTTTCTGAATCAAGGCTGAAAGCACTAAGCTGGGAGAAGGCGAGGGGAAAACAGACCATCCCCGCTATGTCTAAGTGAAGTTCACAAGTGTCCTGCCTCAGATTCTTGTGTTTTGTCATATTACATCATTTTAAAAATAAATGGTTGGTTGTTTAGGGGTCAGTTGAAGTATTTTGAAGTCTCTGGTCAGTAAGGAACTCGAGAGCTAGTCTCCAAGACCACAAATACAGCACTTCCTAGCATCTGCGGCACATACTGCTTTCTGTTCTGTCACCTCTCTCAAGAATGCTCCGAACCTTTGCAAACAAAGCTGGAAATGCTGCTCAGAGTTTGTGTTAAAAAAAATCTGAAACAGCAGTTGAAATCTAAGAAGAAAGCTGTTTTTTTTTTTTTTTTTGCCGCTAGTGTGGTTATCTTTCCACTTCACTGTCTGCAACTGTAAATTCTGAAAAGCGACTTTTCCTGAAGGTAATTTGAGGTTTTTATGGAAGAGGAGGAAGCCCTACGCGTGTATTAAGGGGCAGCCTGGGAAGGAGGTAAGATGGGAGAGGAAATTAAAGAGCAGTAGTACTCCACACTGACCTCCCGTCGGGTTGCCTATTTTTCACAGATGGATTTTTTTTGCAATATAGCTTATCCTATTTACAAAGGGAAGGGGGAAAAAAAGAAAAATAATGTGGAAAAGGATCCACGCTAGGGGACTACTCATAGCTGCTGTTCCAAGATTTTCCCCTGGAAGAAAAATCCCAAAATGTATCGGGCCTTGCATAGAAGGGGTTTCTTGTAAATGGAGTTAATGAAGGAGACTCATACTGACAGTGGTTGAATCCTGGAGTTATATATTCAGCAGATCAGTAATAGCTGTATTTTTTATAATATTTTTTTTATTTGTAAGGAAAATGAACTGGTTGCTTAAGTTATCGCACAACATACTATTTGCATATAGGATGGTGATTATATTTGGATAAGGACTAAGCCAACGAAGGAAAATTCACATAACGCACCCCAGATGACGTGAAGTGGATGTTCCAAATTATAGACCCTGAGACAGTGCGAGTGGTCTGTGGGACTGTATTAAATAGTAAAATCAGCCTTGTAAATTAAGCTTGATTAGTTCGTGTTCCTCAAGAAACCGAGGTTGACGTTTGTCCAAAAACTTTTGGAATGATTGGCACAGAAAAGCAGAAGATCTGGCAAAAATAGTCCTCTGAGAATAGCAAAGTTAGTGTGGTGGTTTTTCTGGTTTTTTTGTTTTTTTTTTTTTTTTCCATTCTTTGTGCAGCTGTCAGGAAAGTCCACTGTTGGAAGAAGTCACTCTGAGAGGATTTGGCCATTATTACTCACCTTTGAAGAGTTTATGATGGCTCAGTCCAGGCCATAAATACATAAATATAAGGTCAACAGTAATAATTCATAAAGTACAGCTTGGTCCTATAAAATGGTGTTAACAGTATGAATTAACATAATGTGGTGGTTTCTTGGGTGATTGACTCTTCAAACCATAGAGCTTTGTAAATGTTCCTACACGATCTTACAGGTTTTCAGTAAAGCTGTCCTCAGGGGTGTCTTCGTCCAGCATTAAACACATTTGGGGTTTTAGCATTTTAGGATACAAGTAGCTGGCCAAACTTGGAGCCCAAAGTTGTGATAAAATAATTGCTTCAGCCTTTGGTTAACCATCTGTATTGCTTGTGAACGTGCCTGACAGCTGCGATTTATCCTTTTCCTTCTTTTATAGTGATCGACACCATACATCCAGTGCAATTCCTGTTCCAAAGAGACAGAGCGCTAGCTTCGGCAGATTGGATATTGGCTTTTCCAGTGGGCTTCCTTCTCCAGATAAAGGACTCCGAAAACGAGCCAGCACGGGAAATGAAAGACTACAGTACAAAACTCCTCCTCCTAGTTACAACTCGGCTTTAACACAGACTGTTGCCGTCACAGCCCGTGTAGGAGAGTTAGATAAAAAACCTGCATCGATATCTTCCTCCTTGGATACCTCTATGGACTCCTCGAAAGGAAACACCGAGAAAGGCGAGGACTTGTGCAGGAGTTTAAATGGAGAAAACGGGAATTTCAGTAATACCCAAGAGCGGCAGGAGTCTTTCCTAGGACATACTAGTGCAATAAATGGGGCGTTTGTGCCCGGTGAGTGCTCTGGCACGGCGAGCAACGAGCAACCCTGTGAGTTTCGTCCCTCGCTTGGCCCTGTCCTTTGCTGCACCGTGGAGCAAGCGGAGGAGATCATGGGGATGGAAGCCACGGGGTTCAGCACGGGAGATCAGCTAGAAGACTTTAACTCCATCCCGGTGGAGCACGCCGTGGCGGTGGAGTGCGATGAACAAGTCCTAGGGGAGTTTGAGGAGTTTTCTCGAAGGATCTATGCACTGAATGAAAATGTGTCCAGCTTCCGCAGACCGCGTAAAAGTTCGGACAAGTGATCTTGGACAGGGATTTGATAGCAGACATTGAGGTGAAATCAGTGATCTGGAATAGAGATAAAATTGCACTTATTCTTTATATTAATTATAAAAAATAAATAAAAAAGGTAAAGCTATTCCTATGGTGTTAGACAAACGGACTTAAGCACGGTAACACAGGATCATGGTATATTCACAGCCCAGGTAAATTTTGATTCTGCTTCCAGTCCTCTTATGTCTGGTATTTATAATCTGTTGGAATATTATTTTTTTTTTTTTAGGCATTGGAATCCATTTATAAAGGCTTTCCTGGAAACAACTTCTAGTGCTGATCAGGCCCTTCTATGAATATTTGTTAAGTTCTTAATTATTATTTAGAGTTAAATTTATTTTAATCTTTTCAGAAGAAAGACAAAGTTAATTTAAAAATACATTTATGGTAAGACGTCTTTACCCTTTCCCATGTAATCCTGTGTTTTCTTGAGCAATGTAGTCAGTGTTACAGAAATACCATGAATTTGTTGTAATTGGACAGCTTTCTCTTGGCTGTGCTCTGTAGCCTTTGAAGTTCTAGTTTGCACTGATGGGTCTTTGGTTGGTGGTGTAAACTTGCCAGAGAATGAGCACCTGTGTGATAGCTGCAGTTTCCTTGCACCTGATTAATCATAAATGACTTTTTTTTTCTTTTTCCCCTCCTCCTTTCCTCCATACTCACTGTTCCTACCAGTAGAAGCCTTGAGGACTATATCACCTCTAAGGTTTCTTAGAAAAATCTCAGCCTGACCGTTCCCCACTTCGGTTGGGCGCAGACCCCATCAGTAGGGACCTGACAAATGTTCTGCCTGAGCAGGGCTCAGCTGCCACCCTCCGAGGTGTCTTACGGGGACAGCGTGCTGCGAAGCACTTCAGACATCTCCGTAAAAACCCAGACTGAAAATGCAGTCAGCACTTCGGAATTAAGCGAATTTGTGGAATCGCTCCACCCTCTGCAGAAAGGAGGCACGTAACATTATTCATCTAAATTAATATCCTTTTAACCATCTGTGCTTTAAAGGAAGAAATTTCCAGCGGCTCGCTGGCGGTGCGGTTTGCTCTTCGCTAGGTTACCACTGGCACATGTGTTCAGCTGCACTAACGGGAAAGCAATTTGCAGCCTGCTTTGTGATTCCTGGTATTTGTTTCAGTTGGAATTTCATTGCTCTTGCTTTCTATATTGTATACCCAAGAATTTGGGCTCAGTTGTGAGCTCTCAAATATAAAAAATATATAGCAGAATAAAAACCACATCATCATGCCTCTTTTTTTTTTTTCTTTTCTTTCTTTTCCTCCCTGGTCTATGCTTTCTTTTGAACCAGTGACTTAGTCTTTTTCCTAACTTCTCCATAAGACCTAGCCAAAATTAACTTTTTCAAATGTGGATATGTATAATCTCAGCTATCTGTTGTCCAAACAAGACGTGTATGTGAGAACCAATATACATAATAGCACCGTTCTAGAGTATGCATTTTTCCAGGTAACACTTTAATGATTGTATTTCAATTATATTCACATTTCTTCTGTTAGCTTCTAACGTGTCTGCAACCAAGTTGTTGGATTAAGCCTGTTGACAGCAGTTCGTTATCTTTGGTCTGTCCTGTGCTAGATAGAAGCAGAGACCTCAATTCCGTAAGGCATTGAACGTCATTCCAGGTGCAGACTTGGGCGTGAAGTTGGACACATTTCATGAGCATCTTCTCCCCCAAATAAGCTCCTCTGTTCCAACCTCCTAAAGGAAATGCCGCAGGAGGTTAAAGCGCTGTCATCATTTTTGGGAAGAGATAGGTAGGAAATCATCACAGGCTTTGGTGTCCTGAGAGCCAGAAGTGAGCATCTCATTAATGAATTAGGCATAAGGTACTCTGTCCTGTGACTGGATCTTACCATCTTCTGATAGCAGGAAATTTTTAGGTGAAATTAGGGAACACTGAGTCAGTCATGCACCCTGGGGGATGGGATCTGGCAGGCTCAAAGCGGCACCGACCTTCTCTTTGTAGGCACGCTCGTTTTCCTCTTGAAGGGAAAGCCCTTGGCTTCTGTGTGTTTGATGACTTTTCAAAGCAACCCAAAGAGTAGTTGCGAATGTTTCATAGGCAAACACGGAGCGTCTCAGTGCAATTAAACGACACGTGAAATTAGGTTTGTAGAGCATCAGCGAGACTTTAGATTTTTTTTTTTCCATCAGTTGCACATTTTCTCAGGTTGCACTCCACCGGATGAACTCTAGTTTTCCTCCCTGGTGTTGTGTTGTTGTTCCTGTTTGAGTAATTGTTCACGTGTGGGACACGATGGTTGATTGCTGCGTCTGTCGCACAAAGCTTCTTGGATGGGCTTTCTGTGGATGTGTCTTTAGTAAGCCTTAAATTGTCCCAAAGTTTCTCTTCCACTTTTCCTCCCTTTCTCTATAGAAGGTGGTGTGAAGGGGCACAGCTCATTAAAACACTGACGAACTTCTTGTTGCTGTGAGGATGGGGGATTGTACAGCCTGCAGCCACCTCCTGGCTCTCTTTTTTTGGGATTTTTTTATTTTTTTTTCACCCACTATAAATTACTTTCAAAATAGCGTAGTGGGAGAGAAACAAATAGTAGGTTTGAAGGTGAGACGATATATCACAGTGTGCTTTAAACTGTCAAGAGCTTTTCGATTCCTGTGCAGCTGTGACACTGTTAAATGTCTGCAAATGTCTTCAAGTGGAGAAAACATTTCATTGCAATCTTTTCCCCCCTCTCTAGGAATTCCGAAGATTTTTAAGAATATTAGTTTTGGAAGATCCATATCCCACTCTATTTTTATAGCAAGAACAACAGCATTGGCTTATCCTGGCTTGACCAGGTATTTAAAAATAAGCAAAACCAGACTATCCCATAGTTAATGACACATGAAAACTATATTGGTAATTGCGGGAAAGCTCATCTGTATTTATAAAATAAAACTGATTAGTATCTCTCAACTTGTGTGTCTTCTCTTAACGGCTCCTTTGTGTTTGTTTTCTTTACAAGCCCGATTTGAACCACAATGTCCTCCCCAGTGCCCTAAACTCTTTGATTTATTGTTCATCAAGCCCAGCTGGGGAAGGGTCTGGAGCACAGGGCTGACGAGGAGCGGCTGAGGGAGCTGGGGGGGTTCAGGCTGGAGAAGAGGAGGCTGAGAGGAGACCTCATCACTCTCTACAGCTGCCTGAAAGGAGGGTGCAGTGAGGTGGGTGCTGCCTCTGCTCTAAAGGAACAAGTGATGGGACAAGAGGAAACGGCCTCAAGTTGCGCCAGGGGAGGTTTGGGCTGGATATTAAAAAAAAATTTCTTCACTGCAAGAGTGCTCAGGCATTGGAACAGGCTGCCCACATCCCTGGACGGTGTCAAGAAACGTGTGGGTGTGGTGCTTGGGGACATGGGTTAGTGGGTTGGGTGGGGTTGGGGTGACGGTTGGACTTGATGATCCTTGAGGGCTTTTCCAACCTTCATGATTCTATGATTTGGGCAAGAGGGTTTGCTGGAAGACCTGACTGCCTTTCCTGGCACCAAATCCTATTTCATAGAAGATGGCACTGCAGTTATTTTTCACTGTCCTTCCGAAAAGATGGCACGCAGCTGGAAAAACAGCGTGTGGTGGGGCTGGGGGACAGCTGGTTTGCAAAACTTTCATAGATAGTGGAAAGACCGTGTTCCCTCATTGGAGAGGTATTGCTACTCATCCGGCACCTTCTGTCATCCGAGCTAATACTCAACGTATGTCTGCCTAAAAAACCTGGTGTTCCCCTCGAACAGGAGTCTGCTGCACAAGTCTTGGGAGGAGGAGGCTGCCCACGACACGGGATCGGTGTAACGTGAAGGGCTGCAGGGATTCTGGAGGCATCATCAGTGCAACAGGTTTTTTGGGTTGGTTTGGGTTTGTTTTTTTTCTTCCACCCAATCTGTCTGTCAGCAGAGAGTAAAATGCCAAGATGCCGACAGTTCTGGAGCTGAAGTAGGAAGATACAGGAGAGAAATTTTACTTGAAGCTGTTTTGCAACATTGAGCAGCTTTATTGAAATGTTGTTCATTAAAGTGATTAATAAACTATGAATGGCAAAGTTTTTTATTGAAATACAACTGGAGGTGCTGCTTGAGAGGGGACTTGTTCTAGATAAACCTTGGGCTCTTCTCTACCTCAGCATCTTCCAAATGGCTGAAGAAAGTATTTCTCTTTGGTGTCTGGGTTCTGAAATTTTTCAGCTGGGAGTGTGTGCTCCTGCGCTGTGTCCTCTGAAATGATTCGGTTTAGCTGGTGTCTTTGGGCAGCCCTGAGCATCTCCTCTCTACAGGCAAGGTTGTCTTAACCCCAGGTGAAAAAATAATAATATAATAATTATCATATGTATTTTTAATGTATATATTATAAAATAATTTTCCAGGAAAAAAAAATCTAAGATTTCTTTTAATTGCTGATTATTTTGATACCAGCTTATTTTTTTTAATAGCAGAATGCAACATTGTTTTACAAATTTAATGAAATAGTATGAAAACTTTTTTTTTTCTGGTAAGT